CTTTCCCTCTTTGTCCCTATGCCGTCCCTCTTTCTCGCCGTTTTCCCCTCCATTCCAGTTGCCATCATCGAAATTCCGGCTGGAAATCATTAAATTGCACGCACTCACACGCACGTGCGTTGTGCTCGCGCTGCGATGACCTCGTCTCTCTGCTCTTCTCTTCTCTCGCGCACTCGCCCCTCTCGTTCTATGATGCTCGTCGAGCTATTCGTACGAGCGATACCTTGAATTTCGCGACAAGGGGGAGAGCAAATACATAGTTGCCGGGGAAAAATCGGGGATGAGAATGCTGCGCGCCAACGACTGGAATGTTTGTATATCGCGATGATATTTGCCGAGTACGCGCCCTTCCGGTCGATGACGATTTTTCTCTCCTTTCTATCTTTCTCTCCCTCTATCCCTCTCTCCCTCGCATTCTCCCTTTTTCACGAGACAGCATCGCAAAGCGACCAGCGAAAATTCGAGAGAAGCGGTCTTTGTGCTTTTGCGCGAATCATCGGGAATACGATCCGCAGGGATTCCGAATTCGTGGAATTTGTGAAAATTTATACCCATTTAACTGCGAACAAACGAGAAATGTACCACCACCGCAGTCATTGGATCGTGGCGGTGTAAAGGGTTAGTTGGTCGTAGAAAATTTACGGGCGGAACGGTGCAACGTTGATTACGTTAACCTTGGTTCAATCGGAAAGTATTTCTGGAAGGGTGATGTTACATCCATTTTCGTGCTAATTAAAGTACGCTTATCCGGGATTTGTTCCAGAAAAGCAGCCAGTTTAAGAGCAATTTAACTTCGAATGTAGATTAAAAGCAGAGCACGACGTTGATCTCCGATAGATCCTATTAATTTTCATCCGCACGGCGGAATTATCGATGGCATTGGAACGACGATATTCCGATGGTGGGGAGAGGAAGTAATCACTTAGAACGATATAAAATGACACCGATCAACCCTTAAGACTGCGGTTCGGACCGTCCTGTATTAATTATTACAGCGATAATGCAGAATCATTACGGATTTAACAATCGAATCAACGATTAGAGTACCGTAGGCTATTAAACAAATTACGGTAATGTAACGAGCCGAATCGGTTTCTCGTACCGACCAGTTGGCTCGCTTTTATACCCGTTTTATCACCATGATTATAACGCTGTTCTTCGGGCACGAGGAGCTCGTTATTATTTTCCTTGTAGCCTTTGAATTAACTCGTCTCCTATCGCGCCATGATTTCTATCCTTCTAGTTACAAACCACCTCCTAACGATCGTGTTCATTTTTTCCAATTCCTTTTTACCATTGTGTATCACCTAGTTGTTGGAAAAAGCGCACTCACGGGCACGCGCGCGCGCGCGCGCGCGAGTGCGCGTTCGGGCGCGGGTCTGAATTTTCAGTCGAACGGCCGAAGCGCGCTCGGAATTACTTCGTGGAAATCATGACCAGGAAATCGTATGAAATTTATCGAAAGAAGGAAGAGCATTAACGCGGATGCAACCGAAATTTATAGGCTTTGAAATTACCATGAAAGCAACGTTAGCGGCGCGTTCG